ATATATATATATATATATATATATATATATATATATATATATATATATATATATATATATGACTGAGATGCTACAGGATCTTAGTTCTATTATCAGACCTGTCAACAGTTCAACAAAACAGAAAGCAATGTAACCTTTAAACTCCACCAGTGACTTTATTTCCTCATATCTAAAATACTTGATCTGCTTTGGACAGTACCTAAATAGTAATAAGTTCAGCATCAAAAGTTAAGGTACTTTTTTGTAATTTGGAATACAAGTCTAAGGATTGCATTGAATGTTAGTTTGCAATATTTCGGATGAAGCTGCTGTTGTAAGCATTTAGTGAGGATAATTTCAGCTGCTTAGAGCTTAACCTCCTAAGCTGTTACTCCTTCCTGAGCTGTTTTGCAGACTGGGATTAGAGGGGAAGCTGATAAAATCAGCATTTCCAGGTTTTATGATTAATATTAACGTAAATCATACTTTTTTTTTGTTTTAATGTTTTAAATCTTTTCTTTTTTTTACTTTGTTTGTGCAACAGTTTTTGTATGTTAAGCCTATTATAAATATTATACTTTATTAGTTTTGTTTGTAATGATCATAATTACCTTCAACTCCTTGGCTTGCTATAAAAGAAAACCTCAGTTTTCTTTTATAGCAACACTGCTCCTCCAAACTGCCAGCAGAACGCGCAATTTCCTCATTCAACCGGGTCAATCCGGTTGTGCATGTTTTAACCACTATAGATCACCTACAACACACCTGCTGATTGTACATGCCATGTTTGCTATTTGTAAGCTATTCTGTTTACAAAATCTTAATTTGGAATTGTTAAAGATATACATACACCATATGGGGCAGGATATGATTCCCCATGAGACACATCCCCCACTGTAAAACATGGTGAGAGCAGTGTGATCCTGTGGTAATACTTCTGTACAACAATTACAGTGAAGTTTTAGCTGTTTTGTTAAAGAGGGGCAACAGTTATGTCTCTAGATCTTCAAGGCTTGAAAGGAAGAAATTTCTTAAGACTAATGATATAATATTAACGAGCAAACATTTTCTTTCTTTTGTTCAAATTTAGACCTAATTGTATATTACTCTGTGTTGCTCTGGCATATCAATTTCCTGTGTAGCTGTAACATATTTAAAAAGTATTCATACTTTTGCAAAAGACTTTATGGATATTTTTTACATCCGTCTGCTGCCTTGCTGCAGATTTCTGTAAAAATCAGCATCTGTCTGTTTGCTCTTTTCAGGGCTCGATAGTTGGATGAACCTGACGAGGGTTGATCCCGATGAGGAAGTCCAAGGAGAGATTCACCTGAGTCTGGAGCTCCTCAGGGACACTAAGAAGAGCAGCTTACGGTGCCAGGTCATCGAGGCCAGGTAAAATAAAAACTATTAATTGTGAGAATGCTCATTTCCGCAGAAGGATCTCAATTGACAAAATATAACTTTTTGGAATAATGCGTAAAAGAAAGCCATATATTCTTCACCATAGTTGGTTTTCTGGGGCAAAGTGTCTTGCTAAAGCACCACTCATCTTGTGATAAAACCTTCTCACCATCACACACTCTTCATTCTGAATCACTCTGCCACCATCACCCCACTCACTGCCCCATCTGCGTCCCAATCTCTCAGACACTAATAAATCTGTCAATCAGGATTTGACACTGGTTTTCCACCAAGCTCAGATACAGTAGCTCTTAGTGTAGTCAGAAAAAACAACTTATCACTAAATGAACCAAGATGATTAGAATAAAAAAGGATAATTGGTTTAGATTGAGAGTTTTCTTCACTAGTGCTGTTCTGGTATGCTGATATCCACAGAGACTTGGCTCCAAGAGACATTTCTGGAACATCGGATCCTTTTGGAAGAGTTATATTCAACAACCACAGTGCAGAGACCTCGGTGAGCTCATCATCTGCCATGAACATGAAACATGAAATTCACTAAACCAAAAGGTTTTATATCGGGTTAATAATCCATTAGGAATTTTATTTTTACATGGTAAAGGATCACATGACACACTTTTATACATGATTAAAGTTATAGATAAAGGATCAACAGAGACCCCTTTGAACAAGTAGTTGCCTTATTACAGTTGTCACCAGTTTTTCACAATAATAAGATGGATAATCAATCACATTTAAATGTTTAACAGAGAAATTCTCACATCTATGGAAGCAAATGCGTCCTAGTTTTTTTCTTATCAAAATTGATTGATCATTTTTTTTATATTCAGTTAAAGCTTGATTTTTGACTTTTCAATAATATTGAAAATAAACCTGTCAAACTACATTTTCTTTTCCAAACTTGCTCAATTAGTAAATTTTTAAAATGTTAAATTAAATAAAATTTAACATTGTAGTTTTGAGAGAGATCTCAGCTGCATCTTTTGACTCATGAATAAAATTACTATTAGATCTCCAAGACTGTTTTTTCTTTTACTTTAGTAAAAGCTTCTGAAATCAATTTTGCAATGTCAGATTTCTACATTAAAAGCATTCACAAAAATACTTTAATTTAAAAGTCAGAACTGCATTTTTTGACATAACATTAAGGACCTGAGGTTGCTCATTTTGTTGCTATATAGATATAGTGGAGGATGTTCTTTTTCTGGGTGAATCATCAAAATAAGTGTCCTCCTAATTGTCAATCATTCTGGTGATATGTTTACGTCAGGCCGTCCTACGTGCTCATACCCATTTTCTCTAAGCCTGGAGAGTCTGACATGGTGGAAAATGTGCAATGTTTTGGGGGGAAGTAAGCTTTTATGAGCGATGTAAACAGCAACTATTAAACAGAGCGTGCACGAGGAGAAATGGGTACAGGGTTGTGAATGTGCATTTAATTTAAGTTATAAATAAAATTACGTTTAACTTTTTATTTTCAAATTATTTACTTAAGTTAATTTGAACATTTATAATCCAGCATTAAGAAGACTGGGCAAAAATGGTGTCTAAAAGCATGAAAAACAACAACTGCAGATCATGATGATTTTTTCAACATTTAAGAAATTGTTATGAACTGAAAAGACAGAAGCAGAACTTTGGTTAATATTTTGTCCCTTACAAAAAAAAATAGGATTTAAAAAATACCCCCATCATATTCAAGATGAAACATGTTGGTGGTAGTGTGATGGTCAAGGGGCTGCTTTGCTGCTTCAGGACTTTGCTGTAAGAAAATGGAACAAAAAAATCTGCTCTCTGTCAGAAAAATTAAAATTAAAATATCTACTGATACAAACAGTTTGCTGAAATTTGTCATTTCAATTTTGTAGATTTTCTCCTATAAACCTATAGTATAGTACAGTATAAAGTATAGTATAAAGTGAGCTCATACTATCGTTGTTTAGTTGAGATTGACAACTGACTTTGTTTTTGTTGCAGAAGATAACCATTTTTTTCCCTGTTTAGTTTCAGAGCTGAGAAAAAAGGGGCAGATATTATAAGATTTTTTTCTTCTTTCTGCTGCCTTTCATTTCATTTTGTTTTAAAAAAATTTGAAATACATATGTAGTATGTCTGTGTGTATATATGTATGTAATGTATACAGATGGATATGTAGGTATGTATGGATGGAGGTGTATTTTTTATTTTTTAGTATATCAAAAATTTGATAGACTTTTTTTTTTTTTTGTATTCAATGAAATGAATAAATAAATAAATAAAATAAAAATAAATAAAACCTCCACGCTGGGATTTCTTACAGTTTTTCCAAATCCTGGTTATAGATTATCAAGAAGACCCGTTTCCCTCACTGGGGAGAAACCTTGGAGCTGGAGCTGGATGCAGAGGAGCTGAGTGAGGAGGGGACTGTGACCGTGGAGGTCTGGGACTGGGACATGGTGGGAAAAAATGACTTTCTGGGAAAGGTTAGGATATGTTGATTTTTTTTAAAAATCCACTATGTCACTAAATCCATTACGGCTGAACCTTATTACATTTTTAGGTATTACAACCAAAATTCTCAGTGTGTTGTAATAGATTTTTTTGGATTAGTCCAAAAAAAAAGAATGCATACTTGTATAATGGAAGGAAATGAATATATCACACATATAGTTTTATTCTTTTACCCTACACTTCATGCTGTTTTATTTGTGGTGCATGCTTACCATTGTTTCCTGGCAACATGTTTATTAAAGTTTGGTGTTATATCTTGAGCAATGGGAGCTCAATGAGTCAAGACAGCCTCTGTGCATCGTCTGACTCATCTTCATCACTCAAAATAGGTTTTTCTTCAGGTCTGTATCACCAAAGCTCTGGAGGACTCTAGGAGCAAAATCTTAAACTTAGGTACCTTGTAAGGCTGACTCTGTGCTACATGATTTAACCAAAAGCCCCATGGATTTGTTTGCTGCATTTGACTTCTGCAAACATCAACACTAGTGTCTGCTGGGTGGATAATAGGATATGTTTTGTCATTGATGTGAGGGCGATGTAGTTGACTGGTTCACCCGACCAAAGTAGTAACAGAAATATTAAATTATTTTGCCAGCTGCTTGGGTTTTGCAGGCTTTTAGGTGCCTGTTTCACAAAACAGGTTTATTGAAAACTCAGTTTTCTAAAGCTGAAATCAGGTAAACTCTGAGTCTTCAGTTATTCCAAGGGAGTTTTTTTCAACCTGTTTCTGTTACCATAGTAACATTCTCCCCCAAACTAACCTGGACGGGAGCAAGTTTTGTTCAGTAAACTCAAAGTACCGGTCATAACTTGTGTTATGATGGCCACTTAAAATGTGTAAACATTTCTAGGTATACAAAACTTAATTCTTACTAAAAGAATTTTGTCTTTTACTTTCTGAAATTCAGTTTTTCCGGGAAAAATCTAGTTTAGAAAATCTTTTATAACAGTTCTGACAAGCAGTGAGTACACTTACCAAAAATGGTAAGACTATCAAGACTTCATCAGATGTTTACTCAGGTAAAAGTAAAAAGTAACATTTGAAGAAATTACAAAAGTAAGAACAAAAACCTAATAAAAAGCTACTAAAGGAACTGATCTACTCTTAACCATGATCATAAAAACTGATTTTATATTTTTTTAGTTATAAAACTTAAATCAGTAATTGTAATATGTAACAAAAGGTATACTGTTTACTGTATTTTCACTTAAGCTCCACATAACAGCAGATTCAGAAGATGAAATAACAAACAAACAAATCATTAAGCCTTGAGTACAAAATAATAGGAACATCTGTCCTTTAATGGTGCATATTTATTTAGAACAAGCTTGTTTTCATTAACTAAAGTTACTGCCAATGGATGGGGAAGCCAGAAATTTTACTGATATTTTATCAAGTAAGAGTTAAAAGTACAAGGGTGTAAAACTACTCCTAAAAGTATATTTTTTTTCAAAGTAACTCAACAAATGTAACTGAATTAATGTAATTAACTATCCACCTCTAGTTCTGACTACGAATGTCATTTTGACCAGAAATAATTCTTTTTAAGTGATCTACAAATGGAACAACAGGGAGGAGAGTGCTTTTAATAAATGTAAAAATGGCCTGCCATAGTAAACTTCATATAAACCTACAATCTTCTCCTTCGCCATCTTCCTCTCCTTTGAAGCTGTAGCACTGTTGCTTGTTCTTTTTAACACATTCCCCATTTATTTTTTCCTTTTTGCACTAAAACCTCTAGTTCTAGTGGTTGGAAATTGCAAATTTCTGTTGCCATGGTGACTAATTGAATTGGTGCTCCACTGATAATGGCTTTTCATACTTGTTACGCAGGTGTTCACCTCTGAGTGGACCTACTGACAGTTGATTAAACTAACTTATAGCAGCTTTTGTGAAATTGAAAACTCAGAGTTCCTGACTTTAGGCTAGACCAATACAGAATTGAAGATTTGAGTCTGAGTTTGTTAAACCTGCTTTATGAAATGGACCCCAGCTTGACATATCTGCTCTAAAATGTCTACTTTTTAGCTCTCTCCCTCTTCCCATTGACCAACTCAATGTCCATGTTCAAATAAGCATCTCCACAGCAAGATGTTATCACCATGTTTCACAATGGGTAGGTTTTTACAAAATGGACTGTGTAAGACTTTATTTGACTAAAAGCTTTCTACTTGCCACTTTGCTTTTATAATCAGAATTATATAGTGAGTCTTGTGGGTGCGCTCCCATCTGATTCCTTCAGTTCTCAATCCCTGCAGCTGCTTCATTTTTCACTAGGACCAAAGAGTCACTTCTCTAAATAATGTTTTCCTTGCCTAATCTGTTAGTTTTGGAACAAGGTCATGTCTTAATGGGTTTGCAGCTGTTTCATGTGCTTTTTTTTTCTTTTCTCATTGGCTCTAAAATATGTGAATCAGATTTTGCAGCTTATAGTCACATTTTGCTTGAAGTACTCCACATCCTCTTGGGTCAGTATTTTGTTGTATTTTTTTTATTAAAACTTTTTAATCAAAAGACTTTTTAAAATATTCTTTTCCTCCCACTACAGTATGCACTTCTATTGGTCTGTCGATCCCACACTGAAGTTTGTCTTTGTAACATGTCAAATCTTAGAAATTTCTCATCACAACACTGCAACCTGTATTCTAGGCAGAAGTCCCATCCCTCTTTGTTCTCTCTCTCTTCACAGGTGGAAATCCCTTTTGCTTGTTTGCACAAGACACCTCTGCTGGAGGGCTGGTTTCGTTTGCTGCCCCTGGGAAACAATGAGGCTGATGCTGGGTGAGAATTATGGGCGTGTTTTATTGCAATGAGGCTATTTTATGTGTGTACACCTAAAGTATTTAGCTTTTAGTATGCTTTTTTTAAAATTTTACATGCACAGAAGGACAGATGGTTGCTCACTTCCATGCTTTCTTTCATGCATTTAAATGAAGAGTCACAGGCGGAGGGTCAGGTCTCGGACAGCATGTGTTCCTTAAGATCATTTAAGAACAAAGGGCGTAATAAAATGCAGAAGAGATGTCACATTAGGTGAAATTTGCAGACTTATTAAGAGTTGTCTCATGATTTCTTTGGCTTTGTTTAGGGTGTCTTACGGTTCTCTGTACAGGTATGATAAAAGGAAAATTCATCTACGAATTTAAATATATTCAATAAAGAGAGTTGATTTAGTTTGGGGTAAGTGCAAGAGATTATTCCCAGTTGTTGAGTTAAATCTTTTGCTCTCATTTGTTCTCAGCGGCAAGCTGGGAGCGCTGCGCCTGAAGGTGCGTCTGGTGGAGGACCGGATCCTGCCGTCTACATACTACCAGCCACTCATTGAACTGCTGGTTGAGTCGGTAATCTCCCCCACAGAGGTCAGCATCGCAGCTCGTCCTCATCACGGATATTCATTCGTTCACCCCCATCATGACCAAAGACACTTCTCCATGCGTTGCATTTCGTTCCTCCATCTGTTTTTTTCCCCCCAAAGGTGTGTTTCTCAGTTTTTAATGAAGGTTTTCCTTTCATCAGGTGGAAGACAGTAGTGCCCTGACCATGCTGGAGGAGGTGACCACTGTGGAGAGCAGGCAGGATGTCGCAATGACTCTGGTGAAGATCTACCTTGGACAAGGACTGGTGGTGCCGTTCCTTGATTATCTAAATACCAGAGAGGTCAACCTTACGAGTAAGGACAAACTGGTTGAAAACATCTCATAGTCAGGGATATGTTTTCAGGGAAAAAGCACAAACAAACACTATTAATGGGTTATATTTTATACATCCTCAGCTTTGACTCATTTTTGGAAAAATCTTTGGATGAGTCAGTCTTTTGATTGTTGTTTTATGGTTGAACTGTATTTTCAGACATACATATTTAGGCTTTAGACACCTAACAACATGTACTGGTCACATTTATTTGTTCCTCAAGCCAATAAATACATAAAAAAATTTTAGCGGCAAAAAAATATTACACAAGAACAAATTTCAACTAATTTAGAAAGGAAAGAAACATGTTAAATGTTTTTAAATGACCACTAGCAGAATTTTGGAACCTCTAAGACTTTAATTGATGTAAATAAAGCATTTTTTCCCTGTTTACCCTGGATTGTAGTTTCTAGACACTTCTGCGTAGTGATCCATGTCTTTCTTTTTTTTTTCTGTTGTAAAAATATGCAGTAAACAGAGGCCCCGCTTTTATCCAAATGCCACTAGGCTGGATTTGGGGTGCCAAGTGAATTTTACCATGAAGAATGAGCAGAATGTCTAGTAGAGGTAAAATTTCATCTAGAAAATGTCACTTTTAAAGGAGAAGTAATTGGTAATATACTTATACAGTCCTTCTGAAATTTTCTTTGAAATGATAATAAATGATTTTTAGAAGAAAAATTAACTATATAAAGATCATTCTGACCCCTTTTCATAGTTCTTTTTTTTCTCCTATGTGTACACTCAAGAATTTGACATGTTTATTTGCACATTCACGTGGCTGTAGCTTTAGCAACATTAGCAGTTGGCCGTGGTTCATTTACCATTGGTTCCTGGTGTCTTAAAAAAAGGTAAAAGTTACACAAGCAGCAACACTTACTGACGGCCTGCAGGAGCCTAAAATGAAAAACGGAGTTAAAAAATAACAGTCACTGAATACATAAAGTACCGGTAGCTTTACAGAAAAAGTGTCACAAAATAATACTCCATTATGAGATAAATGATGAAATAAAGAATTAAATTATGTAATTAATTAATCTTTGAATTAATAAAATTATTTGAAATATAATATACCGGTAATTTAAATAAGATAAAAACAATTTAACATTTTTATTTTGTTTTATTTAATGGGGATATTTATTTATGTAATAAAATATTTATTAGCAAATTTTTCAACAGCAGTATTTATTTATTTATTTTTGAATGATAGAATGATAGAATCGCCTCATTTGGTGGAAAAGAGGAAGGAAAGATGAGGTGGGCTTTTACAAACGACGTGTAAAGGGCGACGGTGATAGTGCTTTGGGAAGAGCTCACTCTTGTTGGCTTTTCTAGTTCGGGCAAAAAACACACCTGAAAAAAAGATAATTTTCACACCTGATTTCCCAGCAGGTTTTAGTTTTAGCTAAATCCCAACACACACGTTTTAACATAAAAGGTCAGATTTCTGGGCAATGGCTTCTTTATAGAAAAAAAGCGCAGCAAAGAGTACCATCAGTTTCCATAAAAACCATTAGAAGTGCCAGGATAATCAGGAACTAACATTTTGTTTGTTAGTGAACTAGACTGACAGCAGAGCTTGATATAATTTAGATCATCTTAAGTTTTTATAAACTTTCCTTGTAATCTATGGTGTATTGTACATTGTTCAGATGTTAATGTTGGATTATTAGTTCTTGTGCTCCGTTCTTAGATCATTGGTTCAGATTCTTCTTTAGCTTCAGTCATTAGCTTTTGTCTAATACTGTTCCCCTGGTGTCCTGTCTAGATCCCTGTGTGTTCATTTCTTTCTTAATTAGTGATGTTCCCTCAGGTCCTGACTTCAGGTCCTCACCCAGCTGCAATGCTCTTTATTATTTGAGTTCCCGTGTCGTTGATCGCCTACCCAGCAGTTTTAAGCCAATCAGTTTTCTCCAACATCCATCTGTTCCCTTGGTTACTCACCGTGTCACTTTGTCCTCTTGTCCCTCACCTTTTTCCTTTCACTTTATCCCTGCTGTTCCTTTCTGATATCCTCCAGTTTTTTCTGCCTGTTTTCTATAGTAGTATTTTTTAATTAAATAAGCATAGCAATCAACAACTGGCAGACACACTCAGGCCCTCAGCCAAACTTAAAAAGAGAAACCTGACACTTGACAGACGCACTAACCAGCTGGATGGGAGTGATGGCAGGAATAGAGCCTGTACTTTGCTACCATCACATCAATGTAAACATGTTGAGTTTATCTTTTTTTTTTTTTTCTGGGACTCAACGCTTTCTTCAGATGAAGTGAAAATTTAACAAACACACAAGGTTAATTTTGCATTAAAGATAAGTGTTACCATGGCAGGAAATTCTACTTTAAAGGGACCTAATCACATGCTATGACTATGAAAAAAACACACAAGATAGATTCACTGTTAAGTCTCTTGGCTATTCTAGTCTAGGAGATATTAGGGAAAAACGAGGTGCAAAACATATTAATAAAGTACAATTTGTCAAAAGGGCGCAATAATTTAATAAGTGAACTACTGATTAAAAAAATTATAAGGTCAAAATAGGTGATTAGGCCCTTGTAAGTATGATGGAGGGTCTGTGATTTGGTGAGCCTGTTGCTTTTCCAAAAGCATTGGGCACCTTGCTGAAGAGCAGGGTGTTATAAACTTTCTGAAATTCCAGGTGATTTAGAAAAGAAATGTATTGAACAACCGGTATTCTGAAACTGAGTTCTCATTTTTTCACCCACTGTGCTTCTGTTTATGTATTTAATAGAAGCAAGTATATACATTTAATATGTCAAAGACTATTTGTAGCTGTTGCTAATTTGAAATGCTCGTCCCTAGAAGGGCCTTTAACATTATGGGAAAAGACTAAACTAAAAGTAGTTGTGTTTAAAGGATTTGTTATTTTTCAATGTTTAATGCAACTAAGATAAAAGATGATTTCATTGTGAGGTTTTTTTCCCATGGTGCCAAGAAACGAGCTCGGCACTGTATCTCAACGATGCTCCTCCAAATTGTTGTTCTAAATGTATTTCATTTTCGGTCACAGACTGAAAAATGTGTTTTTACTGTTAGTGCTTCTCGCTCCTCAGACTCTCTAAAGGCTGCTCCGGTTGACATCAAGGTCTCTGAACAACACAGTTATTGTCTGCGTGTGGGCGGTAAAAAGCCCACCAGCACTATATTTACCACCCTGATGGCAATCATTTACACACCCCAACAGTCTTTTGGTGGCTTGTCCAACGTCTGGATTAGTCATGTTTTCGCCTCCGCACTGTAAACCCCAGAGATATTTTCACACAGAGTTGTGTTCTGGATTTCAAGCTCTGCCAGTGTAGTTCAAGATAATAAGTGTAGTACCCAAGTTTCCATAGCAACTGCACATGATTCAATTGGCCACTGCTTGATCCGGAATAGATGCTGCAAACAGGCAGACATTGAAATTAGGGGCAAAGTGAGAAAGGCATATTTTATACCTCTTTGGTGTGGGAATAAATTCAGTGCTGCCATTCTTGTAGGTTCAAATGTTTTATACGACCACACGCACTCCAGTCACTCCTGTTTTACTACTGCAGCTTAAAAAGATTTACTGTACAGAGATGAAGCAGCAAAGTCAGGCTGCTGTCCTTCATTACACCATGCTGTTTTCTTTGTTTGCCAATTAATGAATGAGGAGGATTTATTTCTACAGAAACATTTAGAAATGACATGCAATTTGCTGTGCTCTTGATTTAATTTTTTTTTATTTTTGATGGTTTTATTTCAGCTCTATCATGTTCCTGTTGAAAGATTGTGCAGCTATTACTTGCACTATGGGCCCTCAATGTATCACTGAACACCTGATTTTCTTTTTATACGGACACAATTTCGAGTTTGCAAAAATACAAGCCAATAGCTAAAACATGATTTGTATAAAAAGGTGAATGATGAGGAAAAGAGAAACAAAAATCAAATCTAACTTTTATTAATTTTTTTAGGCTCAAATCAACTGCTTCATTAACTGTCCAACATACTTTCTATTTTTTCTTTTGTAATTTCCTTTCTGTTTTGTTTTGACAGCTGATCCAAACACCCTGTTTCGCTCCAACTCACTTGCCTCCAAAGCCATGGAACAATTCATGAAGGTGTGAAAAACCTTTTTTTTTTTTTTTTTTTTTTTTTTGGCCATAAAAAAAAAGGTTAAGGTGTTTTAATGCTCTTGCTGGGCTCTGCAATGTAATTGCACATTTATTGCATCCCAATGTATGCTGTTAACTTTCTGCACTTTGGAGAATCTGTAGGACTTCCTCATAGTTAGAACGAACCCTGTTCCAGTGATATAAATGTAATGCGCTGAGTAAATGATACTGTCTTGCTGCCAGGCCGTTGGCATGCTGTATCTGCATGAAGTGTTGAAACCCATCATCAATCGCATCTTTGATGAAAGGAAGTACATTGAGCTGGACCCATGTAAGATTGACCTGAACCGCACAAGGTAAACAGATCTACTGTAAAACATTATACTGGATCACACTGTTAATGCCAAAATCTGATTGTGGAACTGATTCATAGGGCCAAACGTCTGTTTAAAAGGTTGTTTTTAATGAGTAAGATGTATAAATGCGAGAAAGTTAAAATACATTAAATTAAAAAAAGAACTTTATAAACAGGGAGGGATTGTTGCTTGGCAACAGCCATGATCCCCCAGAGATGTCTCTCTATTTCTGACTTGAAGAGAGAGAGAGAGAGATCCAGGATGTAGCATCTTCTGTGGCTGCATTGAATGCCTACCCTAATCTTTTTTTCCCATTTTCCATCCTGATTTATATCCTGTTTGACATTTTCCGTGTGACACAAACTAGCTGTGTTCCTGAATCTTTCTAATATCTGCTGCTTTCATCTGTTGAAATTATCCAGAACTAGGAGGTCGTCTGTTTTGTGTACAGAGGGGATACAGGGCTTTTAGTTCCTTTGTGTTGCAACCAACTCTAATAAAAAATAAATCTGTCTGTTTTCTGTAACAAATCTTTTTGGTCTGAAGACGGATTTCATTTAAGAGTGGAGTGTCAGAAGCAGAGGTTCGGGACTACAGCGTGGAGATGCTGCAGACCTATTTAAGCAGCATCATCGAATCGATCGTCAACTCCGTCGATCAGTGTCCTTCGGTCATGAGAGTGGCCTTCAAACAACTTCACAAGAGAGTGGAGGAACAATTCACAGAGCCTGAAAATGAGGTCAGTGTGGAGCCACGCATTGAAACGCTGGGAGAGATCCTCTGGGAAATCATTCTCACTACATGTTTTCTTCTAAACCCAGGATGTAAAATACCTGGCCATCAGCGGGTTCTTCTTCCTGCGTTTCTTTGCTCCTGCTATCCTGACGCCAAAGCTGTTCCAGCTGAGAGACCAGCACGCTGACACACGCACAAGCAGAACGTTGTTACTACTTGCCAAGGTAGGAGTGTGAGCACTGACATATGGACGGACATGAATATTTTGTAGCATATTTAGAATATATCCAGACATCACACTTAAGTGAGAAAAAAGCAAACAGTAAAGTGTTGGTTTCCTAGACGTCTGCAGGGAGGAGAGGCTAAAAAATGCACATTATCTGGAGTAGTATCACTTTTTAACTTTTTAACTGAGAGACACGAGAGCCATTCTTTTAGAAAAGCATTCATATCAATCAAACATTTTCCCATTTTCTCACAATAAAATCACAAAATGAATGTATTTTATTGGAAATTTATGTTATAGACTAACAACAAGCCGGGCAGTGAAAGTAAAATGGTGAAAATAGTCCTTCTTTTTCGGGCGGCTCAGTGGCGCAGTGGTTAGCACTGCTGCCTTGCTGCAAGAAGGTTCCGGGTTCGATCGGTCTTTCTGCATGGAGTTTGCATGTTCTCCTTGAGCATGCATGGGTTCTTTCCAGGTACTCTGGCTTCCTCCCACAGTCCAAAAACATGACTGTTAGGTGAATTGGCTTCTCTAAATTCTCCTTAGGTGTGAGTGTGTGTGTGAATGGTTGTTTGTCCTGTTTGTCTCTCTGTTGCACTGCGATGGACTGCAGACCTGTCCAGGGTGTACCCCGCCTCTCACCCGTAGACAGCGGAGGAGAAAGGCACCAGCACCCCTCATGACCCTGCTTGGGATAAGCTTCACAGAAAATAAATTTGATGGATTGATTCCTAAAAAAACAAAACCAAACGCGTTTTCATTAATCCGCTTCACTCCGATACAACAAGCTAAATTCCAAAAGCAATTATATATTTAACCTATACATCATTTGACCTATAAAGAAATCAGAGGTTTGTTATAGGATTAGTGTACACTTCTTTTTTGGTGATCTGTCAACCATGACCCTAAGAATATTTATTGATGGTCTGGATTAAAATATGAAAAACCCTGAAAAAATGTAAAGGAGTGAGAATACTACAGATGAGGGAGCAGTGGTTTAAACAAAGCAGCGTTGCATCATGCTTTATTAATAGATTTTGTGACAAACCTACAGTCATAGAAAACCATTAGCAGACTGCGAGAGTGAGCTAACCTCACCTGTAAATGAAGGAGACCAACCAGCGTCGCTTTACTCAACACCCACCATATCTTTAAAAATAGGGACCCCCTGTCAAGATCACTTGTTAGTTGTTGAAACCTCATTTTCTCTCCGACATGGGCTAATGTGGTTGCTGTCCGTGGTGCTGAAGTGCTGTTGCCATGAGTCTGCTACAGAGAGCTATATTTACCTCCAACCAGTCTGCGACCAACCAGTCTGCGGTTCAAAGCCGAGCATCAGAGGGGGCCTTAGAGAGGGGCTTCCTTGTGGCCCCAGGCAAGGTGTGGGCCACACAAAGGGCCTCACAGCATGTTGGGCCTCAGGGACCCTTTTGATCTTTGACTTTGAGACCTGCTGCCAGTGGGCAGGTTTCTGATGGGATGAAAGATATTGGTAGAAAGCAGATTGAATGTGTTTATGGTCCTCAGGCACTGCAGAGTGTGGGCAACCTGGGCCTTCAGCTGGGTCATGGGAAGGAGCAGTGGATGGCACCTCTTCATCCGATCATCCTCCGCAGCGTGGCCTCCGTCAAGGACTTTCTGGATAAGCTGATCGACATCGATCATGATATCGGTAATGAAGGCCTCACTGAGTGCCACACTATGCCTGTAACCGACCAGCAGCAGGCCAGCTGTCAGATGTGCATCTCACATCTGATATGACCATTATACTGTTGTTCTGTTGTCGTGAAATATTTATCACTGGCTGGAAGTCTGGAAAGGGTATATTACCTGTATACACAATTCTCGATACCTGCCAGGTCTTGGCTGCTCTTTGCCAAGCGGTAAGGTGGTTGTTACAGTGATGCTACAGGAAAGTTATTTTTCACAGCTCCTCTTTTTCTTCCAGTGCCAGTTTGACTTTTAATGCTCCTTAGGTGGAGATGTGGAGATATAACAGATGGAAGTGCTCACTCCTTTTATGAGGTTATCCTTTTTGTAGACGTTAACATTCACCAGGCAATCCGATTCTTATCTGTTTAATGACTTAGCACCACCTTGTGTCCGTCGGGTTTAGCATGTTGTTTCTCTCTCCTCTCCACAGTGTCTGCAGTGCCTCAGAGGGCTGTGTTCATGCCGTCAGTGACAGTGAAGGAGGGATATCTACACAAACACAAAGCAGAGGGGCCACAGCTGCTGTCCCGCTTTGCCTTCAAGAAACGCTACTTCTGGCTGACCAGCGAGACCCTGTCCTACGCCAAGACATCTGATTGGCAGGTTGGTGAAATCTATCAACATACACTGACTGCAAATGTATCCATTATTACCAATCTTGTCCTGTTCAAATCCTAAATTAAAAAGGATGTCCTAACTTTCAATGTTCTGCATTAAAACCAACATAAAGTAGCCATTAATTGTGAAAGGGAAGGATATAAAAAAAAGCATTAAAAACCCTGAAAAGATGGTGTAGATATGTTATTCAAGCCTGTTTAGTTGGATGACTTTAAATAAAGGTCACTATAATCAAAAAGCTTAGTTTGACAGAGAACATTAGTGAACAAACAGCATCATGAAGACCAATAAACAGGATAGTCAGGGATAAAGTTGTGGAGAAGTTTAAAGCTGAAAGACTGTGAAGTCTAAAGGGATGATTCAATTCATAAATCCATTATTTATCCTAAAGGGAAATTAAATGTTGGAGTAACTCATTGGAATTTTTTCTACATATTGTTGTATATTCTGATCGTTCTAAGCAGGGAGGATCTTCTGTAGTATCTGTATTGTACTGAGTCTGGAGAAACCTCTGACAGAACACACTGTTGTTGTTTAACAGGCTTCTGAAGAAGATGCTCAGGGTATTTTGAAACATTTACTTTATGAAAACTCTTCTTTGTTAAATCATCTCCAGAGTTTCAAGAGGTCTTTCTAGAACAGAACAACTTCTTTCAGAAGTTTGTCCTGCCTCTCTGATGGCAGAAGAGCTCAAACTCTCCACAATAGACTTATAAAAGATATGCAGACTTTTGCTACAAACACTGAATCTTCTTCAGGAAGTGAAGTCTGCTCTGTCCTTTCTTGTAGACAGGCTTTACAGTGAGCCAAAGACCATATAGGGAACAAAGAAAACATTTGGAAGGTCATCCTCTGAACAGATTAAATTAATAATACAAACTTTAGTTTGTGCTGAAACACTTGAACCCTGAAAATACTGTCCTAAAACAGAGACTTGGTGGTGGGAGCATCATACTGTGGACGTGCATTTTTTCAGGGACATGGGTCAGAATTGATGGGACAGCAGAGCGAACTGCTGGACAAGTTGATAAAAGCTTATAAGACTTTGCCAAAGACTGGAGGCTGTGATTAACCTTCAAACAAAAAGTGTATCATATTTGATACAAGAGTTCTTTAGACTCATGAGTGAGTAAGGATATTCTTTTGAGGACCAGAATGTTCACATTCTGGATAAAGAAAATAGGTGGTTTGAGAGGGGCGTGAAGGAAGCCATCTATGTTAAGAGAGAAAAAACAACTTTAAACAGAGGAGGTGGACTCAGATTCCAGCTTCCAAAAACATACAATTCAATCATAGACATGATCCCTTCCAGATATCACCAAACCCCCCACCCCATCACAGAGGAACGAGGGACCTACCCGCTCCAGCTGGTGAACAACACCTCCTTAACGACAGACTCTTAACAATCATAGACAGGTTTCAGATATTACAGGCTAACGATGGAACCAAACGACCCATTCATCGTTTACCATTTGCATGTTTCCAGATGATACAAGGCTTTGTCTATATACTGTAAGACTCAAACTCACGGCGGATCCAGACATTTGAATTGAGAAAGCTTCCTGGAGAGGTGGCGAAACGTCTTCAAATCTTGGAAACCAAGTCCAGTGGATATTTTTTGAATGTTTACGGAATAAATCATGAGTGATATTTTTGCTCTTGGAAAGGAGTCTGATGTATGTAATATCCAGAAAAATATATGACAAATTGTACAGAAATGCTAAATGTATCATAAATGTTGCAGATCACTTACCTAATTTAACTAATTATTGACACATTTTCAATGACAACTCTAGTTTAAAAGAAATTAATGTTCAGCCAATTACTTTGTGATCTAGGCTCTAAAGAGTTAACCTAACATAAAGCTAACAGCTGGATTTAGATCAAAGTAAATATTTATATGTTGGCTTAGTCATAGTTGCTGAGAATATGTGTCTGGACTTAAAAATAGATGTCCATAGATGATCTTCATCTACTAGCACTGAATCTGAGCTATTTTACAGAAAAAAAAAACACTGGGAAAATGTTTAATCTCTAGATGTGCAAAACTGAAAGAGACATACCCCAAAGCACTTGCAGATATATTAGCAAAGATAGGAGGTTCTACAAAATGTTGATCAAAATGAGCAGAGTACAAATTGACACCATATACTTTAGATTTGTAATTTGCTAAGAAAAATGTGGCAGTAAATATATATAAAAAATGGCAACAAGTTTAATAAAAAAATGTAAAGACAAGTTTTAGATTGTAACGTGATAAATTGGGGAAAGGTTGAAAGGGTATGAATACTTCTGTTAGACTATATGGGTTAAACAATAGGCGATTGTGTTGCTGACTGTTTTTGAATCCAACCATAGGCTGTTATTTTCCCTTTGTTTTGTGTTGAAGGGTTTCCCTTCAGGGACACCCTGAACAGCAGCTGGAATAGAGAACAGTTTCTTCAAGTTTCTAACTGTGACACTTTGATGAATTAGCAATGAAAAAACTGTTATTCATCGGCCAGATCAAAGCCAAGCGAGACTGGGTAATTGATTTCAGAAGCTGGCTCGCTGTCTTATCATCAAATGCTTTCAGGTTGTAGCTTTGAACACAAATTTATCAGTATTGAGGAAACGAGAAAATGAAGAAACCTTTTAGTCATTCCCTTCGTGTTTTGATGTTTTAGTGAGATCATCATCAGAGTAATTACCATGCAGAGTCTAATCTTGCAATAATGATCTCCTCTTATTTATTATCCACAGGCTATAAGAGAGAGAGGGAAACATGGCTGGGGAGAACCCGGCCTGCCTCCTTAAAAGCCCTCTCTTTGAGCCAGTCCCTGCTTTGTGTGATCGGAATAAAAGGCGAGGGTTAATTGAAGGCTCTGGATATTCATGCTAACATTGCAAATCAGATTGCAGACAATGTCCTAGCTCCTTTCCTCCATGGGTAGAGCACTCCATTCGCAGTGAGCTGAGCTCCCGCTGGAAATGGCTGATTTACACTTAAAAGTAGCCTTCGCTTTTACGCCAATCTCGTCTTCACGGCCTTCCTCTGAGCTTTTCTGCTCTCCAAAACATAACCGATTCAGGGTTATTTATTTTTTTTTCATACAAAAAGCAAAAAAAAAATAAAAAATGTGAAGAAGAGTGACACGTTATTATTGGCATGTGTTGATTGTTGCAGTGGTGTTGTTCCTGAACTGTTGCAGGTGCGCTCCTCAATACCTATTCAGCGTGTGTGTGCCGTGGAGAGGGTGGATGAAAATGCCTTTCAGCAGCAGAATGTAATGCAGGTCATTACACAGGACAACGAAGGAAAGATGAACACCATGTACATCCAGTGCAAGGTGCGCTAGTGATTGTTCACCCCTTCCAGTTCATCACCTTTTATATGTTTTTTAACCTCAGTGATCCACTTATTAGTTGACAGTTCAAATATTAATCAGCCTTGTTCTATAGCATAAAGGAATTTAAGTCAATCTGTTTCTTTTTACTGAGAGATGGCTTTTCCTTGTGTTAACAGAATGTGAATGAGCTGAACCAGTGGCTGTCTGCCATAAGGAAAGTCAGCATCTACAATGAGAGGATGCTGCCTTCTTTTCACCCGGGCGTTCATCGCAGCAGCAAGTGGACCTGCTGCCTGCAGGCGGACCGCGCTGGTGAATCCCAATATTTCAATTCCTATTGCTGTCAAAGGATTCATACTACTTTAGCCGTTTTCACATTTGCTCACATTACAACCACAGAACTTCATTTATTTTATTAGGATTATAATAAGTAACCTTATTTTGAGGTGGATTCAAATACATACATATATGTATACGTATTATATATGCTATATAAAACCATTTATAATCATTTATAAAGCAAAATAAAGTTTTTTTTCTCTATATTTTAAATATTTGTTTTACTAAAACTACTTTTTAGATTAATTATTAAATAAAAAAAAATAAATTACTTAAAATAACCTGAATAGCTTAAATAACCTAAAAATAACTTTGCTGTGGGCTCTTTCTGTGACTTCCCTTTAGCAATTGCTTTCTCCTTCTTGTTACCTTTCAATTCACACTGAATATGCGTTCACTACTAGTTCTCCTTCTGTTTTTGAACTGAGGATCTCCAGCTCTCCTCTTGCCATTGTCTTCCAACTTCCTGATGATGGGTTGACTAGTGCTCTCTGGGAAATCCAAAGCTTGCAGGATTATTGTCTATCCTAACTCTGCTTTAAGCTTCTGGAGTTTTGTTTGCTTTAGTTTTCGCGAAAGCTGTCACATAACAGAACAAATCACACACAAGTCTTTCAAATTATGTTACTCGTTTTGTAAAAAACAAAAAACAAAAAAAAAAAACATCTAATTAAGAATACCATCTATAATTTTAAGCTGTTTATTTTATAAAAGATAATACTGATAAAAGATTTCCCTCCACTTTTACATTTATACACCTTGTGTTGAACTTAAACCCCCAATTTATGCTTGTAGTAATATAAGGTTGAAAAGGCGAAGGAGTAAGAATACTACGGAAAGCTCTGTATCACCCACTGTCAGGAAATGACATGTTCTGTCTTTGGTAATTTTGGCGACAGGTAAAATCCATTTTCACTTACTCCCTGAGGTCAGTGAGTTTTGTATTTACTAAATCAGTCATCTCAACTTATAGCCTTTGTGGTTTTGCTGCTTCATTCTTGAGCTATTTCTGGCAGCGTTTTTGTCACATGACCTGTTAGTGTCTGTTACCTGCCTGTTACCTCTACATAGATATGCTCAGATCTATTAACGGACATTTAAAAGCGCTTCACAAAATTAAAGCCACGTCATCAACTCTCCTACAGGTTATTTTCACCACGATGAACTGCTGGTTAGATTTCTTGCTGAGAAGCTGCTCTTTAATAAAAGGCGGCATTTTAGTTACAGGCTGCAGCAGAACCCACTCTGCCGTAACTCTGGGCGACTGGAGCGACCCGCTGGACCCAGATGTGGAGACTCAGATGATATTTAAGCAGCTTCTCCAGGGCAGAGACAAACTCAGGTCAGTTTCTTCAGCATGGATGCAGCTCATATTCCGGTCACTAGAGGTCTATGTTGCAACACAGGATTGCACTGCTCAGCCTCTGCTGACTGTATTGAGATTAGCAGGGAGATGTCTGTCTGTCCAAGAATATCAGAACTTTACAGAGGTGAAAATAAGGTAACACAACTCCATTATTTTGCAGGAAAAAATACCTGGAGCAGGAAGAAGCAGATCAGACATCAAGCAATAAGGAAAAGAGGATAAACCCTGATATTCACCCAGGTAACACTAGACTTGAATGACAAAAGAATGATTAGAGATGAGTGTTTCGATAGTTTATTTTCACTGTTTTTATAGAAAAAAAATCCTATTTAGCTTTTTGAGTTTTTTATTTTTGCATTCTTAAGGAAGGCTAATTGCATTACTTTCCATCTCCTAGATGGTGCTGAATGCAACGCTCAGCAGATGAAGCCTGGTCAGAGTGTCGCTGCTCGGCTGCTGGTGGTGATAGAGGATCTGGAGCAAGCTCACGCCACCTTCCAACTGAGAGAAAAAGAGGACGCCACTAGAGTCATCCTCAATCCCTAGGCTGCACGCGGCCTCTGATCTATTAACGCCTGAAAGGAGTGTAGGGCGTGAGGAGGAGGAGGAAGTTTTAGCTAAACACTCTCCAGACTGTCGCAGAGGAGAAGCCGCGGCCCTGTCCAGCTTTTTCCCGGCTATAAGGAGCAGTGGACAGTCTTACGCTTTTTAATCGTCTGTTCTGTCTCAAGGTCACAGATGAGGAAGATGAAGCCACACGATAATAACAGGAGGGGGACTTTGCAGCATGATATAATGTGATATTGTTTCTGTAGATAAGAAGCACTCTGTTGCATGGCTTGCCCCCTACTTGTGAAATATGGAAAACTTTATATTTCCAGATATTGTACAGGACTTTTTATTTTTATGCAAAAGGCTCATTATAGTGTAATGTACAGTACCTAAATGTAAGGTGATTTATGTCTTGTGTTTTGTACACTGACTGAGAGATTCATCGCCGAGGCAACTCTGTAGCAGTTAATTTACAATCACAGGTCATTCCACTACAAGATTATTTTAAAATGAGTCTAAAGGGAGCAGGATAAGTACTGCTTTCATGTTACCTTGGACCCATTTTACAAAACAACAAGCTTTTGTTTGGTGCTGTAGCCATTTAATTATATAAATTGAGCCGTGATGTATTTTTTTTTATTTGCATTTTTAGTTTCTTGTCCGTACATTTGATGTAGCCATTTTGAAATTTACATGAGTTATAATTGAAGTGACAAGGCTCAGACATGTTAGAGATGCCAAATTGGGTTTGACAAACCTGAACCGCTTAACTGAGAAAAAGATTTCTGCAGATTTACTGTTTGAAGAGCAGCCATGATCAGATATGTGATTTGGAAAAAAACTCACCAGGTTTTAGAAAATTTACAATTTGATTTGATTTTCTGCCAAACAGGTGGTACCATGTCTGAGTTTTTATATCCTTATATATTGAAGTTTCTGGTTACACCAAGAAAAAAATGTAGAAAAGAAATTTTCCCTCATTACAACCACAAACCTTATTGTTTTTGATTGTGATTCTTTTAGGCTGAACAACACGTTGACTCGTGATTGCCAGCCCCCAGAATCTCTGCTTTTATTAGCTTTATATTGACACAAACATTTTTGTTCATTCTTTGCAAAAAGCCTTTAAGCTCTGTGGGAATAATGTGTGAACATCAGATTTAGAATCTATTCTCATATTTTCAGTTGTTTTTAGGTCTGGACTGTCACTGGGGCATTTTACCACACAGTCATGCTTTGATTTAAACCACTCCATTGTACCTCTGGTTAAGTTTTTTGAGCTGCTTTCCTGCTGGAAGGTCAACCTCCATCTGTCTCAAACTCTTTGCAAGCTTTCATTGATTTTCTTTCACAAAAGTCAAGGATTTAACTCCATTTTGCCAAACACTCTAAGAAGCTTTTCTATCATTGATTAAGAATAGCATCGCCTGCAGCATCATGCTGCCATTGCCATGTTTCAGTGAGCAATTGGTGTCTTTTAAAAAAAGGTGATATGCAGGGTTGGCTTTCTGGATAACATTGCATTTTGAAATCTGTTCTCCTTCGTTTTCCCCCTGAATTTTGTGTTCTTTGTGTGGCAAAATGGGACTTAATTTGGCTATTAAATTAAAACTTTGTTAGATTGCCAACTAATAGCTGTCCTGTCAACAGATTTGCACATCTAAACTGTGAATCTCTGCTGCTCTTTAACACCATGGAGCTCTTGGATGCTTCTTGGATCCTTGTCTGACCTGTCAGTTTAGATGGCCATGTCTCGGTAGGTTGGCAGACGTGCCAAACTCTCTCAATATTCCTGTTCGTTTTTTTGACAAATCTCTAAGGCCTTCAAAAATAACTGGCTTTAAACTGAGAATAGATTGTCTTTTGTTGCAATGAAGCCTATTTCCAGAATCCAAGTTGCTATCTAGTTTGTGGTTTTAAGGTTACAATTGACAATGAAGTTTGTGGTTTTACTGTGATAAAAATGTGGAAAGGTTTATGGGCACGAATGTTTTTGCAGGACATCATGCGTACACTGTCATATTTCCAAGAGTGCATAAAATGTTCCAGGTCACGTTATCTAAAACAATAAGAAAAATAGAGGTTTAGTGACATTTTAAGATTTTTAAAAGATAATCATTTTATTTTGCATTTGAACACAGAGAGAGCCGAGTATCATAAATAAAGTATTACTTGGATTTTTTAAAAGTCTGTCCACTGGGAAATGGATTTAACAAGATTTTCAGATTTGCATATCATAAAAAGCCATATTTTCAAAGAAATTCAAGCACATATGCCCAAATCTTCACAATTCGTGGTTTTTATTCCTGTGGCTGGAGAGTAGAAAATAACTTAAAATGACATAAACATGATGCCTTTTGATGATCAGTTGATTGTCTTTTCTTAACGAATAAACATAACAGACCTTTTTCTTTCCGTTTTTTTTATTTATCCTGCTTTGACTGAATCGTCTGCCTTTGTAAAAATGAAAGTATTTATTTGCCACTTGATGCTTTTTAAAAAAAAAACATAATTAAAACATTACTGGAAGGACAAAACACCTAGCTTGATAAGTTTTTTTTTGAAGCACGCAGTACTGATTCATGTTAGGTGAATTTGTAACTATGACACTTTTATTTAATCACTTCGCCCATTGTGATACAAAAGAAATAAAGCGGCCCCTGAAATTAGTCCACAGGCTACTGATCTAATTAAATGTAACCACATCTATTCATCTGTGAATTAACAAATAATGTGAAGTTGCTGCCGTAATGCTAACCCATGAATGCTTTATTTATAGATTCCACACTTCTCCACCAGTTAAAACCATGAACCAGGGAGGAGCTGATCCAGAAGCTTCTGGGTCTGTGCTAATGAAAGTCGGTGTTGGATGGGCGGGTTGAATGAATCCAGACACCAGCAGATCCCAGAGCTCAGTTTTATTTCCCCCAACCACAGCTCCAACAGTCGGTAACAAAAATGACCATAAAGCAGATTTACTGCCAGTGAAAAGCCTCCGTGCAGCTCCCCTGAAGCTCATTTTGATCCATGGAACGAGGAGCAAAGCAGAGAGCTGTCTGTGGAGCAGCACAAACAAGAGCACCTCACACCTCCCAGTGGTAATTCAGAAATGGGGGGAAAAAATGAGGCAGAGTCGAGGTGAGAAAATCCCCAGAGCCCCAAAGGGCACATTTATTTATTTTTTTCCACAAGGAACACACAAACATGCAACAAGGTCATCACGATTCAATAAAGACTGTTTGATTAAGAAGCCCTTTATAGTTTAATCAGTGTCTCTCTATAGCTTGCATTTTGTTATTGTCACACTGCTTAAAGTTGAATTAAACCACAATTAAGAGTCATCCAAAAATATTTAGTACAATGGCTCACACAAATGCCTTACAAAAATCTGATGTTTTATGGGGTTTGTAGAGTGGAGAAGTGAATGTCAATGCTGTCTCAGCATTTCAATAAATCAATAAATCACTATTACTTGTAATAAAATCCAAGAGTAAAATCCTTAGCTTGCATTGAACAGAAAATCTTAGGTTTTGGCCCATAGAGTCATGGATAAGCCACTGATATTAGAAAATCAGTGACACATTTCAAATGAAAGAGAAACCATATAAGTTATTGTTTAGAATGTTCTGTAATAAAGCATATTAATGGAAAGTTTGGTGGAAGGAAAAAAAACAGCAACAACAAGAAAACGGAAGAGGGATAATTGGTAAAGACGCTTTTCAAAGAGTGCAGTGTGCAAGTTTTTTGTTGGAAAGTTAAATGGAAGGAAAACTGTAAAAGAAAGGTTCATAAGCAACAAAACTATAACATAAGCTAAGGAAAGCTAATGGAAAGTTAGGGGGAAAAAAACCTGTAAAGTGCATAAGTAACAGATCATTGCTAAAAATGCTGCCTGTTTTACAATGTGAGCTAATGTAGAGTTGAATAAACATAAAAAGTGGGATGATTACACTGAGTTTTTTGTGTGTTAAAGACAACCTGCTGGACAACTGTAAAACAAGCAGTCCGCTCCATGACTGTGTAGGCCAGAACCTGACTGTTTTATTTCTATACGAAATACCATTTCTAATTGGGTCTTGTGTAATATTTACTCTCTGAGAAATCAAATGTGACATTTTCATCCATTATAAGCTAAAATGATGAAAAAGTAACAGAGATATTCACACTCAAAATATACCAGACAGAATGCAATGAAACAATATATGTGTTTTACTTGCTAATAAAATAAAATGTAATTTTAATAATATTTCAATCTAAAATAAATACTAATATGGGCTATAGGATCTTTCTAAATAAAGAAATGAATCACCAGAAAAAAAAGTGGTATTCTTTCAAAATACACGATGTTTTCATACAAAGAGTGCTATGCATGCACCTCTAGAAGAACATTACTGCATCTTGACATGAACCTAAGCTTTGTCCACTGGTCATCCTCATACACTCACATCTCTCTCATACACACACAAACCCTCACATCACATACATAGAAAGACTGAAACTATATCTCAACAGTTTGCAGCAGACACTACAAGAGAGTACAGCTGTAAATATATATCATAGCAAATAGATTTGATCACTTATCCCAGCTCTAGACAAAAGCAGAACGATGTAATGGATAAACAGCATGAAGCAGTAATGTTACATCTTTTCTTTTCAAAGACAATCATTAAAAAATACATAAAAATATACGTTTTCAAATACATAGCATATTAACATCCTCAAACTGCACCCCCCCTCTGCTCGTTAACAAGGAGGTAGGCGAACTATAACGGAAACATCTACCGTCATAAAAAAAAAACAACAAACAAAAAAAAAAATCTGCCTTCCTGCTACAAACAAGCCATGTACGAGAGCTTCAAAATAGGAAATTGCATAAAAGCCTTCTCTTTCTTCTTTATTCAGACACTTTTCTACCTGAAACTTTATCCAACATTAAAAAAGAAAATCCCTGATTCAAAGTTTTGTCCACCGCCGTCCCATTTTTAAAAGCGGATGTCAGAAAGGTGAAAATCACACCTGGATCGGACGCAGTGGTGACTGTATTTAACGCTTGGGTAAGACATTACATGTTAATCATTTGGAAGTTATTTTAACCATTTCTGTCTAAAATAATTATAGAAAAACAGATAACACCAAATATGATAGGACAGTTTAGTAAAATAGTGACTGAAGGGAAATAAATGTTTGATGGTTAATGTTTTTGGTTTGATTGCAGGACCTATAGATTATGTGATCTCTAGGAGCCCGTATGCATGTTTTCTAGCTAATAACTTGGAATAGGGATCTTTATCCTGCTGTATCTGCACACAGGAGCATAACTTCAAACTTAAGCAACTGTCTCAGCTCTCTGCTTATGACCACATTAGAGGTGTGTTGTACAGTCACTGCTAGGAATTCACTGATAATTGACGCCTAGTGCTGCAGATTTAGGCGTACCGCCATAACAACAAGGCTCCTGTTTTAGATGGCTAATAAATAATTCATGGAAATGTCATTAATTTATCTCTAAACACTTTAGAATGAATTTATTAGTGTTTATTATGCATTCGACATATGCATGCTAAAACAATGTTTATAAATGATTATTCTGCTCACATGGGAACTTAATCTGAAATGTTGAATATAAGCAATGCTAAATAAAATACATAGATGAACCGATTAGGCCCACTATTTTGCAAAAAAAGAAATAAGTTTTGTCTTTTGCTTGCCCCTAATTAACACAAAACAAAGTGTTTCCAGATTAATCACTTAAACTTATTAAAAGCAATTTTAAGGGAGTCTTATTGTACGGAAAACTGACAGAGGATTGCAGCTGCTGTGTATTTTTGTTCTGTTCTGTAATTTGAAGGTTATTCTGTTTTATTTATTATTAGGTTCTGCCCGATGACAGGGAAAATATTAGATGCAAAATGACCAAACCTCTTGTCATGCAGACAAAAAAATCCCAACATTTACAGCAACACTGTAACTTTAGCCACTACGTAGGTGCTACCTGTAGGCAACACAGCAATTAAACAGTCTCCATCCATGTTTTGGATAAATGACAATTTTGGATCAGCAGATTAAAAAATCATGGAGTTAATTGTAAATTCAAAGCCACATTTACTCAACCAGATTAAATCCTGCATAAGAAAACCAAAAAGATGCCTGATCAGGTATCATGCCTGTTTTCCTAAAAGCAACTCCAATCTTAATTGGCTCCCATCTTTTAGCCCAGGCAGCTGTAAAGTAGCATTCTGGGTCACATGACTCCTTCATGAATGGAGCCAATTCTCTCAGGTTACATAGGCGAACTTTTAAGTAGAACAACCTGCATTGAGCGCTGATGCACTGATGCTCAATGCAGGTGCAAAAGTTTTGCAGTGCTGCTTGAAACTTTTACTTGCATTAAAAAGTACCCACCATTTGTGTCACTGAAGAACCCTACCAACTCACTGGAGACCTTGGTAAAGTTACATCTTTGATTAATTTCAGAATGAGTAAATTTCAAAAATGTAAATTTGAAGAAAAACACATACGCAAACCTTTTGTCAAATTATCCACTGCTAACATTTACCAAAGTGGGAGCCTGCAGAGGGAAGGATCATTTACCACTCCACTTTGCACAAGGTTCCCATCATTTAGATCTAGTGAGTGAAACTGACATGGAAGATGATTTTATTTGTATTATATTACTTTGGTGCATCACTGATCCAAATGAGATTCATTGTCTAATTTCTATCAGTGTCAATGACTTTTTCATTTAAAATGTCCTGGTATGTCATCAGCATCATGATGAGATGCACACTAACAGGGTTCCCATTATCTTTGAAATGTAAATGGAAAAAAAAAAATCTGACAAACTGCTGCATTAATGAAATGGCGTGTTCTAATTAGAAAAGTGGCTTGGTCTATGTGTCACAACAGGAAAACAAGAGGTCAAGGATTACAATAGGTCTTAGGCATTAAAGTTAGCTTAACATCTGCAAGGAGTGCCAATAACTGTAATACAAAAACAGTTCCTAAACAGTTTTATATCAGCTAAAAGAAAAAAATAATATTATGCGGTATGCATATGCAAAAAAAAAAAAAAAATAGAAATTACTGACTTTAAGGTTTAAGATTGGGAGGGAGATGTGTTGCCCATTTCATTTTAAATCAAAATTCCCTTTTTACCCCATTAACATTTGTTTGGTTATTTCAGTAATACTTTAAACTATGAAAATATTACTGCTTCCATGCAAAGATTTCTATATTTATTTCTGTTTTAACACAACCTGATATATTGAG